AACCAAACCACAGCTGTTTGGTTACCAGCATTCTTCAAAATATCTTCAGAAAGAAAGAAGCCTCAGTAAATTGTGATTTTTGGCTGAACTGTCACTTTAAAGGGGTCCTATTATTATTTGAGCATAAAAAAGATCTGCAAAGTTACAAAGCTCAAAGTCCACTTCAAAAGGGGATATTTTATTTAACAGAACTTTTCAAAAACTACAACGAACGACTCGTTTGGACTACAATGCATATTTTCCAGGATTTGTGATATCACAAATATCGACGAATGGGACGAGACCTGGTTGAGCTGCACTAGAGAAGGCGACGAGTGTTATCACTCTGTCGGAGACACGCTAGCTTTCCCAAAGCAGACGAACTTAGAGTGGTTACAATCATCTGGGTTTAAATCACACTCAAACTGAATTGATTTTGATGCAATATTTACATGAACAACCTAGTATGAGAGCCTGTTCTAGTACACCCCCAAAACAAAATCAAGACTTTGTAAAAGAGCATAATAGGACCCCTTTAACACTGAGGTTTAGTGCTGTTTAAATCACTGTAGGTGACAGTAACCTGTTTGAGGGATATCAATAGCGCTGGGCCTTTGAAAGACTGTAAGGATTGAGTGGGATTGAGGTTATTCAGCGCAGTGAAAGCGTTACATTCAGCTCCGTCAGATAACGGCAGGATCGTGTTTCTCCGTGTGTGTTTGTGTGAGTGAAGCTCTTGCTAATGAAAGCTTGTGTCGCTCCACACGGCTCACTATTAGAGGACAACCACCCACACCCTGATCGTTATCATGATATGGACTCTGTCCTACATACACACACACACACACACACACAGATAACACACTTTTGAAGATGTGTGGATGAGAGCGCTGCGCCTGACAAACTTCTGTCTGTGCTGTTTGTTGAACGTTTGATCGCTGCCCAAACTACACCAGAGCTCTGAGCATGAGAGAAGTTTTCAGTAGTTTTAACAAGCGACATACTGTACATCCTGGTGCTTTGCAGCTTTGCAGTGCTTTGAATGTGACTAAACTCACGCCAACATGAGGAGAAGATGCAAACTCCACACAGAAAGCCTGCTGTCTGAGCCTGTCCTGATATCATAACGAAGAAGAGAATAGCAGTATTAAAAGAATGAAATGTTTTACAAGAAAACCTTAGTTTGGCATAATCTTTTATTATTTATTATTGTTTTTTATTAGGAAAACATTTTTGACTTTTAAAACAAAAAGTAATGTGGTGTGGCCAAAACAAACAAAAAAAGTGTTTTATTTGATAGTTAAAGCATGGTGTTAAATCTAAACCATTTTAAATGTAACCATTTTACCATGTTGAAAATAGTATAAAAAAATCAAAACAATATAAAATGAACAGGAATACAAAAAAGGTATGTTTAATAGTAATGCCATTGTTAAGTAAACTATTACAAATAATTTTTGATAATTGAAACAAAGCTAAAATAAAATATATTATTATTTGATAGAATGAATGAATAAATAAAAAATCATTCTAATATTAATATTGCATGTAAATGCATTTCATTTTTTTGTTTGACTGAAATATAAAAAAACAAGCTAGACAGAAATGTAAAAAGAAAATGACAAAAACACATTAAAATTAAAATTAAATACTGAAAATATAAAAATAATAGCTAATTCAGTATATTAATAAATGCTATAATTGTATGGAAATAAGACTGAAATAACACTAGGTTAATACATTTCTTAAAAGATTTTACCTTTTTTTTTTTTTTTTAGATTCTTATTTGTCATCAAAAAACAAACAAACAAAAATAATTGATTGAAAAATGATTGAAACTTGATTTCAGTGACATTTCTTGACATGTTTGTGTGTAACGTGCGTTATAATGTCTGCAGGCGATGTCATACGTCCTCTTACTGTAGTTAAATATCTGAGACCATCACAAAATCATTAACACCATTAATTAGGGAGTTCTGTGTGTGTTTAGTGGAGTGTGTGCCAAGAGGTCGTCTTCAGATCGGTCTCTTCTCTCTCCAGACTCGTGTTCGCATGCGTGTGTGTTTTATGTAAACACTGGCGAGTGTGAGACCTTAAAACGTTTCCTGTGGTAGTTTTAAGTTGACGAAGATCCAAAGCCAGTTTGTGAGTTAATGAGCGTGTTTCTGGCCCGATACCAAACTTCATTTCGGTGAACATGGAGATGGAGAGAGCGAGTGTGAATGCATTGAGAGGTGAGAGGTGTAAGCGCATGGGATAATTTCTGAAAAATCTCACTCTCATTTCTAGACGTAGTGAAGCACGTTTATCTCAAATCCCTCCGCCGTGGCTCGTAATGCGCTGACACTTATTTGTGTGCATGCGTGGTTAAAGCGTGTTTTCAGGTGCTGTATGTGGCTTCACGACCCGCTGTCTCTGTGTCTTCAGTCAGAGCTGTTTCTCTCTGGAAGTGTGTGACAAATATTCCCTCAGTTGCCGAGCGAAAAGCCCAACGCACTCGCTGACGACAGGGAATCATGGGTCAAAAAAAGTCCAACGATTGAGCTGACACTGGGGATTCAGGCCTCGCTTGCTCCTCTGCGTCTCCCAGCATGCTGCTCTCCTCTGCTCCGATTGGCCGATTACACACTATATATATATATATATAATTTTTTTTTTTTGTTTTAATAGTTTTAGTTTTTGTTACCAATAACAAAAAATACCTTCAACTCTTAAAATATTGTCAAATAATCTGAATATGGAGTCTTCTCATCTTCCTCAGCTACAACACACACACACACACACACAGACAGTTTATTCAGCATCATGCATGAAAGTGAAATCACACATTCTAAAAGAACAGTTGTAAAACTGGAACATTGAAAGCACAGAACACTACATTTTGAATGGTCATGCTATGATTTCAGAGACAACAGAAGCATGAAGTGACCAAAAACGTGATCATATTATTGATTGAGTTGAGTAAATGGAGAATTTGAATTTTTGTGGTGAACTAGGGCTATTTTAATGTTTTATAAATTATGATAGTATTTATTATTAATACTTTATTTTGAATTTTACAGTGGTATTTTAGTATTATTTATGTACCAATATAATATTTTATTAATGCTTTGAATTAAATTTTATTTTTAGATTTTCAGTTTTCATTTAAATTTTTTAATTTTAATGTTTAGTCTATTAATATACTGTTTTATTTTTTGTTTAATATAATTGAAAATAGAAATAGAATAAAATAGAAAAAAAAAGTTTACTAGAACTCAAGACTACTGGAATTACTAAATAATTAATGTATACATTTATTCTCAATTAAAGCTAAAGAGAAGTATAAAAACAAGTGACCAAAATTGTCAATGTATACATTATTGTAGTACTGTATTTATTAAAACCTTGAATTAGCTTTTATTTTTACATTTTCAGTTTTAATTTTAATTGCAATTTATATATATATATATATATATATATATATAATTTTTTTTTTTTGTTTTAATAGTTTTATTTTTTTT